GACGATTGAAGTGGGGTCCCGCATGCGTGTTGCGGAGACACAGCATACATCTAAATTGAAATCCTCAAGAGGCGGGTTGTGGACCGATCTGGTAATGTGCGAATGTTAAATGCGCCTTAGCGAAAAGCGAATTTTAGCTTCCAAAATCCTATAGCTTCTGATTGTTTGGCCTTGTGAGTAAAACGCTGAGGGATATTCGATCGGTGGTGTTAACAAAAGACATCTGGGATTATTCAGGATTGGGAGGAATAACTAGATAGATAAGAAAGATGGTTTTCCAAATGAGATTTTAGGACTTCAGACCACGACAAACCTAGTGGCAGCTCGCGCAGACGAACGGGTTTTTCTTTGGTAACCCTAAGCGGAGCATTTGATTCAAAAGTCTGACAGACAAGACAAGGGTTGTTGTTGTGTTTATTTAGTGGAGTGACCTCCCCAGTGGTGAGAGTAGACAGTCAAAGGAAGCCAGCTGATCTGAGCATGTACCTCTCGCCTCTACACACTGGTCATGATTGGATCGGCAGGTATGTAAAGGCATTAGGCGAATTTCTTTCTCACCTGAATGCACCTCTCCAGTAGCCGCCGCCCAACCCATGAGTGGGGGAACCGCACCGACCCATGCACCAATCCACGTGTTGGCCTGGCTGACTTGTTTCAGAGGAGTGTACAGAGCCGTGTAAAGCAGCATGTTGCCTGCAGCCAATGCGGTGACTAACGGATTGGTACCCAGATAGAGTGTGAGAAGCCCCGAACTGGCACAACCCAACGCAAACAAGCCTGCACGTCCGGGACTGAAAAGAGAGTGAGAAAGAGTGCAAGATGAGGGCACGTGCACGCAATTGATCGAACTCATGCAGGGTTAATAAATACGGGTGATCAGAAGATGTGAAATAATGAAAACGGTATCGACCTTATTCACAGGAATATTTGTTGCACCGGTGAAAACAACAGATTTTGTTGCCATCATCATCATCGTTCAGCGAGATTCAGTGAAGAGAACTTCACTGATCGCTGCCAAGCTCACAGTATACACAAATCAAGTGATACAGCACAAGATGGAGAGGGATGGGGCCTAATAGGAGGAGGCAAAGAAAGTGAACCTTTATGATCAACAAACAGAGTACACAACCTAACTGTGCATACATACCGTCTTAATCATTCTGACCTGATAAGAAATGACAATAAGAACGCCACTGCAGTCGGCTAGTCACCATATCCTTCAGTGTCTCCAACCAGCCAGTTGCAGTCTTTCGGACCCGAAACTGGAAGACGGGAGACACCGATTCTACCTAATCGCTCTGTGCATTTCTTCATGCCTTGCTTCCACGTCATCTGTTGACCTCCATGCGGTTTCTTCCAACCTGGAGCCGCAACTGCGAATATGACGCGGTGCGGCAGACGATGACTGGGCATGCGCAATACGTGTCCTAACCAGCGAAGGCGACTAGTCCGAATTCGATGGGACAACTTCCTTATCTGCGGCTATTATTTGCTTTCAACAATACCCGGAAAAATTTCGCTGTATCTCTTCAGGTACACACTACAGTCAAAGAATATAATGAAAACTTACAAGCAACATTTACCGAGAATGAGTTGTTGGTGTTATCTGTGTCTATCTTTTTACCAAGGTAGGGCTAAAGTTACAAATACCTCCTGCTTGCATAGCTCAGGCTCCCATCGTTTGATAGCAATCGTCTTTGCAAACTGAAGCAACCGAGAGTTTTGCGTGATAAGGACACTTAAATGCTGTGGTCACGTTCACTTGATGCCCAGTCTCCAGCATGTGACGAGCGATCTATGACGCTGGTGTGCGGCGTTCGGTTGACCTTTGACCTTGATCATTCGGGTGTGATTCGTCCACCAGTTTGTTGACCCACACAGGGGTGGGTCCGGGCTACTCTTTGTCTAAGCTGCCGCTCGGATTTGCCTAGGTAGGGGACCGAGCACCCACAGACGAAATGGTACAATTGATGGGATTTGGCATACTGCGGAAGCGGTTGCTTAACTGGAGGAGCCGGTATTCTGTCACATGTGTAGACGAAAACTGGTTCGGCTGTGTTCAAGTCAAGTCAAGTCAAGTCAAGTATTCGCTTTATACACTCCGATAGGTGGATATTCAGCAGTCACATAGTCAACCAACAATTATGAAAACAAAATTATGACGGAATTATCGCAAGCTATGAAAAAGAAAACAATTTACAAGATGACTGAATCAAGTTCCGAAGCGATGCGTTCTGGGCTGACAAGAAAACGGGCAAGGTAGGGCACCACAGAAGACCGATAGGTGGTCGTACGGGCAAATATACAATTATAGCAGGACCGGGTGGAAGACGAGGATACACTGAAATAAATATATCTGCCAGGATGGGACCCAAAGGACTTCCCATGGCCACACCATCGATTTGGCGGAAGTATCTTCCCTGAAAATTGAAGCAAAGGTTCTCTGTGCACAGCACAATTAACCTTGTCAATTCTGATAAGGGGATTGGAAGTCTTACATTGTTCTGCTGTGCGAAGTCACAAATCGATGTCACAGTTTCTTTCAGAGGCACATTGGTAAACAAAGACGCCACAGCCATGCTAGCCATGTGTTTGTGATTCACATTGAAAGGGTTTAAAAGTTCTACCAATTGGAGGCTGTCCGTCAGGCTGTGAACACATAGATTTTCGGTAATCGGTTTTAATATTCTCACAAGCCATTTCGCTAGTTGGTGCTGGGGCGAACGCGTCATTGATAGGATAGATCTCAATGGTACTTGGGTTTGTGTAACTTCGGGAGATCGTACAGATGTGATGTCTGCGATTTCTGCGATCGATCGAAATTCACCAAAACAACAGAAACGGATAAGACCGCTCAAATAAAGGTTGCCTTATCAAAGATATTGAGATGTTTAAAGCAAAATGGAGTAATCGATGCGACCACTTTCGAACGAATCCGGCCAACTGGGACAATGATTCCCAGACTGTACGGGTTACCGAAGGTGCAAAAGGAAGGGGTACCCTTGCGACCGATTCTGGATATATGCATTCAACGTACCACGCACTTGCGAAATGGTTGGCTAAATTACTAGAGCCCGTAAGAATTCGATTAGCGAAACACAGCGTACGAGACATATTCACTTTTGTGAACAGCATTCGTGACTTAAACTTGATGGGTCGAAAAATGCTTTCATTGGACGTTAGCCCGCTCTTCACCAATGTTCCAATCAGCGAAACCAGCAAATACCTGTGTAGTTATGTACAAAGTAACCATGTTGAGATAGGCCTTCCATTGGAAGACCTGGAACAACTGCTTTATTTTTGCACATGCAACGTCCAATTCCGGCTCAACGAGCAGATTTGTCGACAAAAGGATGGTGTGGCTATGAGATCACCTCTAGGACCGTCGTTTTCCGATGTGTTCATGGCGAAACTCGAAAATAACCAACTCAAATCTTCCATTCAGGATTGTGTGTTATATACACGATATGTGGACGATATTCTGTGCGTGATCAACACAACATCAGGAACAAATGAGCTCTCGGGCAAATTCAATGCTGCTCACCAGAACATAATATTTACTTTAGAAGTGAAAACCGACAACAAACTGGCATTTCTAGACGTCTGCTTGAGTCGTAGATCGGATGGCTCGGTGCAAGGATCAGTGAATAGGAAGTTGACTTGGAAGGGCCAATATATTCATTTTCGCAGCTTTGTACGGCTCGAAGTGAAGAGGAATTTGGTGCGCTGCCTAGCAGATAGAGCAAGGAAAATTTGTGGTGAAGACAATAGAGGAAGAGCTCCGGTTATTACGTATTATCTTCACACATAATGGCTATCCAGGACGATTGGTTAGCAAGATGATTCAGTGCGGTGGAGACATTGTAAAGAAGACCGAGGTCAGAAAGATAGCGGTATACATTGTCTTGTCGTTCACGCGGGATACATCAGCAGAAGTGATACAAAGGAAACTATCAGATGCTGTCAGTAATACATTCTATGAAGCAAAGCTCAATGTTTTGTTTAATTCCCAGCCAGTTGTGTGTTTACGACTAAAGGACAAAATGCCGGATTCTGCCGTTCCAGTTTGTGTGTACTCATTTACGTGTTCCTGTGGAACCACGTACATAGGCCGCACAATCAGGCGTTTGTCTGAACGAATCCGTGACCTAACAATTATTTGATCAGTGAGAATTCCACAACCGGTCCCAAGATGAACTTAGCCGCAGATAACCCATTAGGTTATTTTCCCTTTCCCGGAATATTTATTTGCCTTTTTATGGTTGACTACTTATTTATATATAAAGAGCGTAATATTTATTGTGATATATTTGGCATGACTACGAATCATTGAAAACGAGCTCGGTTGTCACTCCTTGTTCTATTTGAAAGATATATATCGAAGAGCAACATGGAGTGGACAGTGCACAAATTTTAATACCTTTGTCCAACTCTATCAAAAGCGTAACCTCATACCCTGTCTCCGGCAGAGAACAAAGCGCATCTGTTCAGAAGATATTTTAAAAACGAACCTGAACTAGTGAGGAGAACCTTACTGGAAAACGGTCACCCTGAGAAGTTTATAGACCGTAATTGGGCTGAACAGAATAGGCCAACGAAAATGCCAAAAGCGGAGAAGATAATGGTTTTTTATAAAACTTTCATTTAAAGGCGATGTCGCCACTGAGAGTCGGTGGAGTTTTATCCTCAGCAGTGAAATCTACATTGAATGCCGCTCAGCTAAGATGTGTGTTCTTTACGTCACCAAACATCCGATATTACAACAAAGATAAACTGTCTATGTTGACCTCATCTGTGATTGTCTACCAATTCAAGTGCACTTGTGATGCGACATATGTAGTTTGAACGACAAGGTAGTTAACCCAACGGATCAAAGAACACAATCCACGCTGGCTCACACAGGATGGGAGTGGAGCTGTGTCAAGGTCGATCGTTGTTTATCTGGTAGAGACGGGACAGTTGATTGAAATGCGCTCGGCATTTGCAATTATTTATCGAGTTTCGCCACACCCCTCGAGAGCAATACGGTTTCGGACGTTATCAACCACAGAGTGACTCATGAAGCCTGAGCTGTGTGCACAACGCAAATTGATTTAAGCTCTCAAACTCCCCTGGTCAGAGGAAGAGAAAATCGTTTGTTCCCAAGACCATGACGTAACACCATAAGGTAACGACTTTGGTTATGTGGTTCCAACAGCTCACAAATTTGGAGTTCTCTTGGGCTCACTGCCAAACACATGACTCACCCACCTTTCTGTTTGACCCTATTGAAATTGTTTCATATAGATGTGATTGTAAAGGCTTGAAATGGAATTCACCGAAAACGTATGTTCGCCTACATCGTGTTCTTAATCAATGGGCATATTCCGTGACAACGAATTCCCCATCGAATCATTACCTTACCTCAGAGTGGCTTACACGTTCCCTCCATCCAACCCGCACCAACCTACTTAAGCATCGGTAGTCGAACACTTCCAGACGACGAATATCTTCTATGCCACAGCGAAAAAGATCAATAAAAAATACAGACGAACGTGTGAAAATTAACTTTATAAAGCAGCAGGGGAGCGGAAATTCTACCGACGTGTTAATTTTGGCTTGCAATGCTTAGTCTTGCAACCGATAGGTGATGTGACGACCTTCTGCTGGCGACTCAACAAAGAAGTGCAAAAGAAAGTGCATATTACCATCTGTGCATTGTACATATTGTCCTTTGGAATGCGTGCCTCGCACAAACAGCTTCGGTTGAACAAAACTGTTCCTCTGTTCACACTGGGTTGGTACGGACGTCCATAGACAGATAACGATAAGATATTGGGTTAGTTTAGTCGCCTGACTGCCTTACTCTTGCGTCCTGAAGTATTATGATAATGGAATAGTTTTAAAGTATCAGAGATTTACTCCCTTAAACTAACACTGATCCGGGAAAACATCCAGTCAAGACGCTGGGCAGTGCTTCAAACAAATAACGGTCTCGGGAGATTAACTGATAGCCCAGCTCATCTTCTTCTATTGTACAAAGCTCAAATCCGACCTGCTCTTGAATACTGTGTGGGGTAGGACTTCGTCTTCTTCCTTTTTCCTTCTTGATCGTGTTCAACGACAGGCCATCCGGCTAATCGATGATCTTTAACTAACATCCAGTCTGAGGTTGCCAGCCCATCGTTGGGCAGTTTTTTTTATTACACACCTTCGCGTGATGAACAGCAGTCGAGGAAGGCCCCATAGTCACGAGGACCTGCTGTTCAACGATGGGAACCGGTAACCCGGGACTTGGAGTGGCGGACCGCATAAGGCCCCGATAGATTAGTTGTTTCATTGTCCCTATTCTACTGCTACTACTTTGGTTTTTGTTCTTCGGAACTTGCCTCGGCAGTTCTTCTTCCTGCAACTTTTACCCGCCCATCTCGTACACGGGCATCTAGTCATCTTTATCAGGTTTCTGTTCCCAGATGTCGGATCTCTCTGCTCCCCCCGAACTCCTCCGAACTGCCAAACTATGGGACACCCTCCTACTGGCTGTTTCCCCCAACTTACGATCTTACACGTTTTAAACGCAGAATCAACAGACTGGATCTTACGTTAGTCTTTCTGGATGGGGACCGCGGGATTAGTGTAATCGACTGTTAAAGATACCGAGCTCCAATGCTGCGTCACAAAAATGATCAACTGTGTACAGCGAAATACAGTGAAGCGAACCACACTGATCGACGCCACACTGACAATGTATACCAAGTTAATTAGGTATGAGGTGGATGGGGGATTGGACTCATTAGGAGAGAGAAAGCAAGTGAACTCCTTCGGTCAACACAGAGTATACAACCTAATTTATGCACACACGCATACCTATTCAAACATCCGGAGCCCATAATAAATGACGACGAAAACGCCAATACTGTTGATTCGTTGCAACGTCCTTCAGTGCCTGTAACCGGCCAGTTACGCGGTCTTTTAGATCCCAGCCTAGAAGACGACAGACGTCTACTCTATTCACTCGCTCCGTGGATTTCTTCAAGCTTAGTGTTGAATCCGAGTTGATCTTCTACTACTATCGTTCTACTCGTATACAGTTTACTTCGCTTCCGTTTATACTTTTCCTTATTTCACCCCTGATTCATGTTCCTTCCCATCCATTTTATTGCGTCACGACATCTCTGAGCCTAACCACGATCGAATTGATTGTCTCCCGCTTTTACCAGTGACTCATATCACCTCCACTGTTTGGTTGATTAGGCCTTCTCACCATCAGTCGATATATGACATTTTAATTGGCGTCCATTTGTACCCCGACGCGAACACTTGACCGCCCGCATGTACTTTTGTGATTCACACACCAAGGTGACCGGGCGGTCGCACGCAAGAATGAATGGATTTACACACACCCACAGTTCAGTTGATCCAACCATTAATCATGCACTTTCGTGCGCCGGTTTTGGTTGCTGTCTCTTGGTTGCCCGTTTGGATAAAAAAGCGAAATGAAGATTGGAATGTCGAAGTAAATTCAAGCGGAAGATGGGGAATACATACAGAGTGGTGTTAGAAAAATAACGAGTGGATGCACGAGCGCCCCTGTTTGCGACACCCAGCC